AGGCCTATGAGTCTCTCGTATAATCCTCCACCCCATGGCGCTTTGGGGATTGTATTTTTCCACACGATACCTTCCTTTGCCAAGAAATTTGCGTTTTGTTTTCTAATAATTTGAAATACCAATTGAAATTGGGTTGCATTATCACTTAAAACCATTTTTGGGAATCCTCTTCGGGCAGTAAACCTTGTGAAGGTATGGTAGAAATTCTCACCTGATAAATCCTCGACCATTTCTAAATGTACCGCTCTAGTAGTAAAACAAGTAAAGAGAGCGATCCATCTCTTATTAATCGTATTACATGATTTAACGGTGATTGGTCCAAGATAGTCAAGGCCCACATTTTTGAATGCTCTTGATCTTGTGACCCGAGATTCTGGAAGAGCGGGCATGGCTGGTAGCTTGAAAGGTCTTGCTTTCCAACGCTTACAATCCGTATACTTTGATATGACACTCTTTACTGCTGCTCTATCTTTAGGTATCCAGAATCTTCGTCTAATTTGAGATAACGTGTGTGTAGTCCCTGCATGGATTAATTTCTCATGTTGATTTTGTATGATGAGTTTAGTGAAATGATGACTCTTTGGGAGATAAATTAGAAATCTACCATTGGGGCTTGCTAATCTACTCCAAGATCTCCATAAATTGTCAGTGGTACTTTTAAATAAACTCCATTTTTCCTTTTCGTCCATTGTTAAGCATTGTGACTGTACTTGTCGAATCAACAATTGCTCTGCTACTTCATAATCTTTTGCAGTCATATTGCTTCGATCGAGTGATAAAGATTGCACCATTGGTAATTTTTTATGACAAGTTTGTTTAATGAATCTAAGAGCCCATACTGTTGCTCTCATCTTTCCAGTTTGCTAAACCGTTGTACATCGATGAATTGAATCGACTTTGTAATAAACCTTTGGTTATTCTCTGTTGTTAAAGCTATAATGATTGTTTGTCCAAATTTATCGTGTCCAGTATAATTGAATCGGTTAGTAGGCCACTTAGATTC